ATGCAGGTGTGTGCGAATTTGACTCGTGTGACTCTTGCTCTCCAAGGTATCACGACATTGAAACTGCTGAGTCTGTTGCAGAAAAGCTGCATGGATTCAGAGTATACCACCCAGATGACCGGACGAGGCTCGGCTCTGATGTCTCGTTCCAGTAAAATGCCCAAGTGCCAATGTCCAAAGATCTCAGATGACGGAACATCGGCTGATGTGGAGCATCAGGCCGGTCCGCGCCAAAGTGGCCAAGCATTCGAAAGCCCTTCACTACATGTGCACCGATCCTTGGAAAAGATTCAGATACTCGCTGAGGAGCTTTTTGGCATTTGATACGAGACCCAGGAATCAACACACCATGATCTTGCAGCGTTCACCTTTTGTGCTGTTCTTCTATCAAACTGACATCCACATCAAAGACATGGTATGGAATCAGCATCAAGGCTTAGTGCTTTACAGTTCACAAAGGGACAAAAGGAGCACTGGCAGAAGGACCTCCCCCTAGCAAGCATACAAGAATCGAAAACTCAAGCGTGCCGGAGACCAACAGCAATGTGCAACTAGATGCAGAACTCCTGCCATACGGTGCCATACATTTTTTTTGTGTGGCAGTGCATTTGTTGACAACATGTAAAAGTACTATCAGGACTTGGTTGCTTTGCACGCGGTGCCATTGGATGGTGCATGCACCACTCTCTCATGCATAACAGGGTCCTTGCAGCAGTCATCGTGTTTTTGCTGCCCTTGGTGCACACACCAGTAAACTGAAGCTGTGCGGGTAAAGGGTGGGTTTGACACTTGGCTTGCCGGGGTGCAAGCATCCACCCACGACAGTACCCTGACGAATCTCTAGGAATAAGTGCCATGGACAGTTTGAATTTTGCAAGGACAATGTTTTTTTTGCGAGCGGTGCCAGAAGTGCTGTGGCACGTGGTGCCGTGCAGTTTGCTATTCCCAGACAGTACCTCTTCCACACCGTGGCTTAAGCCCAAATTGGATGGGCGTGGATAATGTCGGATCCTGTTTGGAAACAGACAAACCAATTGAAACAACTTCTGAACTAATTCATGGATTTAAAGGATAGTCTTTGGCAGCAGAAGGTACGCTTTGTCACACTAGGTACCCCTGTATGTAGTCATTCATAACGGTATATTTGAGCACACCACTCTTGCGAGCCGAGTGTTGGTGTAAGTGTTGTTGCAAGCGCTGCTGTTATCACTAAATTGCCAGGTTGCAGGGTCTGTTGCATGCACTGAATGCGTTGCTGCAAGTATACTCTGGCATTACCTGTGTACATTGCAGCCCATACACTTCTGTGTCAAGGAGCCAAAGCACACGCACCATCAAAGCCACGCCTTGTGTGCAAATTGATCAATTTCTGGGCCGTTGAAACCACCACTTCCTCAACATTGAACCAAACTGTTTTTGTTCCATCAAACTCATGATTGGTCCACTCATTTTGTTTTGCCCAGTGAAACAAAGCAGGAAGTCACAATCAGATTGTATCATTGTAGTCAACTGCACGCCTTGCAAGAAAAAACACTGGAGCCGGCAAAACTAGAGTTTGAACCCGCAAAACAATCGCCTCATACTATCCAGGCAGGGGTTTGTTGGATGCAATGATGGCTTCATCCCTTGGTGATGTGAATATTGAGCTGAACTCAGGATGTTTACTTCGGGGAGGCCCGCAACGTGTCACCTTAACGGCTAAAAGTCTATGACCACAAGCAAGTCAGAGCATGATGTGATTCTGCTTCTTTGGATGTCTTGACAATGCTGACATGTTGTATTTTTTGAGGTGCCCAACAACTGGACTGCCTCTTATGTCTACAAATTCTTGGCACAGGCCTGCTGGTTCACGCGTTTGTGGTTCAATGCGTAAGCCAAAGGACAACCGTGGCAGACTGGTGTCAGCATGCGCTGTACACTGTACATACATCGAATTATATCGAACTTGTTCAGAAGTCGACTCTACTCTTGGGCCTGATCTGCACTGCCGCCTAGGCTGGTGTCGAAAGGAACAGTATACATTCTGTCAAGCTCTTGTCACAACGGCCTGGACGGGCTGGCGTTGGCGTGATTCTGCATATAGCCGGGAGGCTCAGGACCAAATGAAAGCATTATGGCCCATCTCAAGCTCAAATCACTTCTTGGACGCCTTTCGGTACTTTCAGGGATCCTTAGAGAACACACAGGATTGCGACAATCAAGAAGTGATGCAAGCCAGCACGAAAATGAGCAACATCAGACTATCAAGGTAAGTGCTGAAGCAGCAGATCGTGTGCTTGAGCAGCTCACTGGGCAAGAGATCTTGGTGCGTGGGAAGCCGAGGCCTTGTAACCCAAGAGTCCCACCAAAAAACAAGTTGCATAGCTGAGCAAAGAAAGCATAACTACGCAAGTCACATGTTTGGCATTGCCTTTCTATTGCAACTGTCTTCTGGCTGCCATGTCTTCACAAAACTGCTTCTGAAAAGACTCACAAAGCAAACTTTGAGTCCTTCATACTGAAGGTGTTGTTTCCATTTGGAGAAGAAAAGAACAACCACATCAAACAGAGTCACACAGTTGAAGCAACATTGAACAGTTGGAGGCTTCGCCCGTTTGACAGGCCGCTGAAAGTGCGGCTGGCAGATGCCCCGCAGGAACCACCGGAGCCACCAGCACCGCCTGTGGAGACCAGGAGCCCACAAGTGGAGACCAGGTCGAAAGATCTCAGCACTAACCAGCTGAGAAAGGAACAGGAGCTCATGCTCTTCATGTTCATGGCCCATGTTACAGGAGCAGATCAAACACTTGTAGGCTGGAACAATTGGATGATTTGGACGACTATGATAGCTGCTCATCCATTGCAAGGCGTTTCCACGAACGTGCTCAAGGAAGACGCAGCAACAGGGATCTAGCAGAGTGCAAATCCAAGTGGTTGGGGAATTTCTGGCAAGCTTTCCTTGAAAGATGAGCAAGTCTTTTGAGTAGAAGGGTGTATGGGGCGAATCAACCATGTTCGAGAGGGTCTTCTGGAAACCACGCCTGGACGCAGGTTTTGCCCAACCCAGAAGTGTCTAGAGTCTAGAATTAGGAGGAAGAAGAAGAAGAAGAGGAAGAAGAGGAAGAAGAAGAGGAAGACGAAGAAGAAGACGAGGAAGAAGAAGAAGAGGAAGAAGAGGAAGAAGAAGAAGACGAGGAAGA